GGAATCGATAATAGCTGGGGCAGATATTCATATATTCGTGTTCAGACTGTAAAAACAATCGATTTCAAAAGAAATTAATTAGGCAGAACACGAATATATGAATATCTGCCCCCCCCCCCATTATCGATATTCCGGCGCCTCTGAATTTAGTGTGATACTGTTAATTGTTTCAAATTCACAACACATCGTTTAAAAGCGAATCATGTGTACGTACACAAACCAAACATACAGTATTAAATAGAAATATCTACCCATTTTTATTTAATGAAATTAGACACACCTGTTATTTATAGATATAACGTCTTTAGAGTAACTGTTATCTCGGAATATCACCGTAATTATGCGCAAGGACAACCAAGAAAAAATAGCCACAATCAAGTAAACACTAAAATATTGAACAGAATTATTAGCGATGGGAGCCGCCATTTCAGGAAGAAAATGACTTCCTAACATAGCTGGACTGAAAATATACTGTACCAACAAACGAAAATGAAAAACGAGAAAAAAAACGAGAATGAATATATAGGGATCCAAGGATAGTGCAAAGTTTCGAATTGAGAAAGACAATGCAAGTGTATAGGGGCAGAAAGTGGAAAACGCGGAGTCTCATTAAAAAAGAATCTAGAAAAAATAAACTGTTTTGAAAGACTCCGTATTCCGCACTCCATACTCCGTCTTTTCCACCAAGTCCTCTGAACCCTATAATCATTTCTATACTTAGAGAGCCAAACACGCACGCGAGCCACGCACGTGCTGTATCAGGTTTCAATTCAGCACATAGTATTACAGGCTTTTGTATAATCTGTAGTCTGAGTATAGCCATCTATTCAGTGGTGTACTGTCACGGAATAGAAAATGGAACCAGAAGTCTCACTGTACACCTTTCCTTAACATTTTCGTGTCCGCGATTTTTGCCTTGCGAATCACGAATTTCGCACGCTAGATGACGTGCGTGACACTTGCTGCGAACATCACGTCAGCGTTCGTCAGCAAAACGGTTAAAACAGCAATCTTTATTACCTGGTGATGGCAATTGATGGCGTAATTGCTCGCGTTTGATGGCGTCGTGATTACACTTGCTGGCTCGCGCCTGCGCATAAAAATCACGGACATAATTTTGGCGCAGTGAGACCTCTGGTTCTATTTTCTATTCTGTGGTACTGTAGCATTTTATACAGTCGCACCTTATATTAATATTAGGGAGCTTTAGATTTGACTACGAGTACGGGATTCGTCAAGCGAAACGCATGCTGTATGCTTACGCCATCCCATGGCCATACCGACTCGAAAAAGTCGTAGCCGTCGCCAATCTGAGTACGAAATTGTGGAGAAATCTCGTAGTCTTCACGACCGACTTTTCAAAAGTACTTAATTAAATGCTCGTAATGCATAAAATCAATTTATATATTGGGTAGAATCTCAAAGATTTTCTCATAATACTGTCAACCTCAGTTGTATAAATACACTCTTGTCTACACGATTTCACACCGCCGCTCAATAGTCACCGCTCGTCCATGCCTGCCATTGTAAAATGATATTATATGAGAACGCGTGTATTTATTCATTTGTTTTATTGTTTCATGTTGAAGTTGATACCGCCTGACCTCCCCCCCCCCTTATACATATTTTGGAATATTTGTCGGTAAATACACTGCACCCTCATCCTGCTTAAAGCTCTTCGCAACAGCCCTGGTCATTGGTTAATATCAGCCTCCTGTTCAGTGGAGGGCATTTAAACAAAAGAATCACATTAGAACCTCATTAGAAGGTCTCGTGAGATGACGAACCTCATTACTCATTAGAAGGTCTCGTGCTTGCAAAACCAACCTATTGCTTGCCTTATCATACAGCTATTTCAACTACTTTGCTATTTTGCTACTATGAAAGCTTTTCTTGTTGTCTGGAATTCCCCCAAAGTTTTTTTTAAAAAATGGGAAGAGGTGCTCTTTAACAGGCTGTTGTTGAACAAAAAATTACAGAAAAAAGCTTATCGTACATATTAACGTATCACTTACCTTACGCATATAACACTGAGCTAGTATCACTTACCCTCCTCTTTTCATGTAGTTCACAACCAAATCTTGAACGGGATCAAGTGACAATAAGTAAATAACAAAAAAAGTAAAAGATAACAGCAACAACACCAATATGTAGCCTAGGACGAAAAATACGGAAAAAACTTGCTAAACTTTAAAAATAGGGTAAGAAGGGTAGGGGTGTCAACTTCAAGATGGCCATTTATTTCACTCAAACAAGTATAGAGATTTGCCGTATAATCTGGATAAATATCAAGACTTCAGGCATCACGCTCGATAGAATTTCCGTTCGAAATTTCCATTTCCAAAACCCTTCAACTGTTAGTTCTATTTAGAGCGCTGAACCAAAGTCGCACGGCAGCAGATTCGATTCCTACCAGACGACCTATAGTTGCATTTTTCACATTTCTACGAAACAGCGGTCGCCAGACAATAGGGAGTTTAAGATGCCGACAACGAACAACGGGTACGGAGTACGGTTGAAAGCTTGTTTTTGCATTGCTTTAACAAAGGCAGACAAAATTTACATATCCCCAGAGCATACTTTTCACCGTAGCGACCTTGGCTACAGCGTAAAAATCACATTCTTGTGTTGTAAAACAGAATCAAGAACCTAGCAACGAAACCAACTACGCGACGTTGCAGGTTGGAGAGCATTTTTATAAAGAAATGATGAAAATTAAAAGATGAAACTTGCCGAACACAAAGCCATGCACATAAAACATATTTGGGATAAATTTGTTATGACAAGCATTTAGTATTTGCATACATACAACAAAATTTATTTCAAACGTTGTCGGTAGTTCGTCGTCAAGATCTTAAACTCCCTAATATTGTATATACAACAGAGAACAATTTACAGTCCTGCAAAACATTTTCTCTAAATCTCGTTTTAAACAATTTCTCAGATCCTAATGCAAAAAAAAATAAGTGAAAATATTTTCAGTTTGTGGTTCTAATAAAACTTCCAATACTATTCTATAATAAATTTTTACCGAATAGGCACCGTTATATGCGCATTAATTCCTGGAACAAGAAATACTTACCCCACAAAAAGTAGCCGATCTGATAACTATGATATCTTAGTCCTTTTCCCTAACGAAGTGGAATACACCAAAGTGGTTATTTTGAAGTGGTTACTGTATAATTAATCTATACAGGGGCTATGTTTGGTCTAAACATTAGGGCGGTGTGGGTTCGTTTTGCCTAACGAAAGAAAGTTGATGTGGATCCCCAGAAGTAATACAAAGACACAAGTATCGAGTGCCAAAGGCGCGAGACATCTTGGGAGGGGGTTAGAGTGGGGAGGGGATGGGGTGGGGTAAAAGGGTATGCAAAAAGTGACTAATTAAAACTATCTATTTATCTATGTTCCTCCCTTGAATGTTACTTAAGGGCGAGGGTGAGTGAGCTTTTAGAACACAGGCGTAAGTCAAGTCGCAAGTAGGGAGTCACCCATGACAAATTATATATTAAAATACTATAGCTCGCAGTCATAATGCGATATGCCAATGTAGCTGCACTGGTCAATGTGCATCGATGAATTTCCAGTGCAAGCTGTGGAAAAGTTAATTTTCACTAGATATTTACGACTTTACGTTTGACTTGATAACAAGTCATTTCTCGCAAGTACAAGTCAAGTCATAAGTCATTTTGTTCAAGTCCAGTTCAAGTCACAAATTGTTAATTAACCTGAGTATCAGGCTCTATTTTACAAATAGAGCCTGACACAAAACTTAACCTGATCGCTTTCCGCCCACAGCAAAGTTTATATTTAGTATCCAATCAAAATGTCGCAGGAGAAATTTAAATTTCACACAACGACAACAACAATCTAATTATAGCATAGGCGCCCACTAAACGGCTGAATTTAAATTAAAACTGCAATGAACTTATAAAATTAACAAAAATAATCACAAATTAGCGAAATATATTGCAAATGTAGCTTATATTAAATCGCCACCCGATTGCTCTCTCCTCCGCAGAGGTTTCAGTGACTACAATGAGCTTTACATGGCGCTTGCCGTATTTATCAACAAACTGACGTATAATTGTAAAGTATACTTTATAACTATACGTCAGTCGATAGTGCAATCTGATGGCGATTTAATATAAGCTACATTTGCAATATATTTCGCCAATTTGCGATTATTTTCTAATTTTACTGCAGTTTTAATTTAAATTCAACCGTTTAGTGGGCCGGCTATAATTGTAGTTGTGAATTGTGATCGTTATAAAATATATCAACAACAATAGTATAATCTAATTAGCACCAGCCAATCAAATGACAGATTTAAAAATCGTTTGTCTAATCGGCCAATCAGCGCTCAGTCCAGATTCTGGACTGAACAACCAGGCAAAATGCCACTTTTGTGTCAGGCCGTACTTTTCTCCCCTTCGCCCACGATCAGGCGTGCCTGTGCCCTAAAAAGTACGGCCTGATACTCAGGTTAATTGTTAATCTGAGTAACAAGTCAAGTCACAAAAATCAAGTCACATGTCAAGTGACTCAAGTCTACAATCTCCAGCTGTGCATAAAACTTTGCATATATACACATTAATTTTCATTAGTTCATTAGCTCTCTCTCTCTCTCTCTCTCTCTCTAGTGTTGTTACAATTTTTCAATTTTAACTTTCTACACTAGTTCTCGCGTTCCAAACTCAAAACAGGATTGTATACGTATATTGTTTAACTTACAATCATGAACTGTACCGCATTGATATTCTTAGGAATGAATGATTTATCTCCTTTGAACATCCTTAGCGTGTTGTTCCTATGGAGAGGAAACCACAACACTTAATAATTATTGAAGAATTGAAAACTCTTAATGCTCTCTTTGTAGCTCGTTTAGTGCATGGCACTTCAATTTTTTTGGAGAAAGAATAAACGGTTAATTTTAAAGTTACTCGAAGAAAACATTTCTTGGAAAAAACGAAGAGTGTTTTGACAGCATATCAAGCAACTAAAACATTACTCGAAACATACTTGTGATTTTCCATGAAGCGAATAAAAGAGACAACACAAAATATGAATGAAAAAATGGTCGCAGCCATCACGGAACCTACATATAAAAATAAAACAAATTGATGGCAAAATTGTTAAATTCAAAGTTAAATTGTTTTTTTTTTTCAAACTATAAAAGTCATGCACGACACAGATTTCTGTTGTGATCGCCATGCTTGTTCTTTCTTTTGGTTTGTATATTTTGCTCGTTTTGGTTCAATATTCTTCTTTAGGACGTTTGCTATTTAAAAGACTACCGTTCACACTACGCCAGAGCGGTTAGTCACAATTAGCTGCCGTCGCGTTCACATCACGCCATAGCGAAATTGTTTGAAAACGTCACTTTTGGCGTCAACAATTTGAGCATGGTTTCTAAACGGAGCGAGATGAAAACGGAATATTCGACGGCTTCGTGTCAACACAAATACCGACTGTCTACGGAAAAAGAACTTGCGTCGTCGGCGTCCTATACATGCTAAAGGTCCCTACTGAGTGTTACATGAAATTTAAAATAAGTTGATTTCCAACAAAACTAACCGAACAACCCAAGGAGAGCTTTCACCCATAGTACGCGCAGATAATGAACATTATCTTTTCTAAGTTGGTCTGATTCTTTCCTGTATTGGTCCAGTTTTTTACTGACGTTAAACACAAGTTCAAAGGAAATCTAAAAGGAAACAATAATGTATACTAAGTACCTAGTTCAACGATTAACAGCTGATTCAATCAAGATTGCCTTTTCAAAGTCAAAACCTCAACCTCTAAACGCGAAAAGCATGATGGGCATGCATATACAGTATGTAATTCAGACTTCCGACACTCCGAGTTACAGTCGCTACGCCCCACAATCCGTTTTGGTTTTGAGTAAAAAAGCGATTTATAATTTACGAATTGCCGTAATTTTCACTTATTTTGGATTTTATATCCAATTCAATAGTGAACCCGTCAGAATTCATTTCCTGGATTTTTCAACATTTTACCATTAAAGAAAGTTGTTTGTGAGACATGCTTAATGGACCTTTCAGGCATTAAAATAGCGTGTCCTTGTACACACTTTGTGTCCTTGTAAAAGGCGAATGTGCCCTTGTAAATTGAAAAGTGTGTACTTGAAAATATATTAAACTGAAAGTATATTACACCCGTTTTCAAAATTACGCGACCAAGGACGAAAATGCTAGAGTTGACATGTCAGTTTTATGTCATTCGGTCACGAAGTTTAAACTTTGAGTTTTGCGGTTCCTTGTCGATGTGTATGCTTTGTATGCTTTATATAAACAGGCTTACAATGAATTTCAAGATATTTTAGTGAGAATTATTGCAAAATTTAAGCACAAACAAAATCATAACATCACCGTTATAGTCTAGCGCACGTGTTTTATACTGACAGCTAAATTCCAGGATAAATTGTTATTTTTCAACTTTAAAAGTTATTCACGGCACATATTTCTGTTGTGATGGTTTGTATTGTGCTTTAGTTTGTATATCTAAGTTATCTAACTCATTTTTGTTCAGTTTTGGTATTAAATACGGTTTATAATATCTTTTGACAGCTTGTGTACGTTTGCTATTTTTAGAAGTCTTTGTGACATAAAACTGACATTTGAAGTAAGAGTATTTTTCCGGGAGGTCGCGTAATTTTGAAAACGGATGTAATGTAATCCACGCAAAATAGCCGAAGATTTTGCAAATTCTGTTCTCATGCAGGACTAGTCTCTGGAAATAATTCCATTTCAGAGACCCCCTTAAAAGTTCGCGTCTTGGCATGCTAAACTTATGGCTTCGCCACTCGTTCTCGTAAGTCGGCGCATTTATACCAAAAATACGCCTCTGAAGGGACCTGCCTGCCTGGGACCTTTAACCTTGTAACTAAAATTTTGATCTCAACAAGTTTAGACAAAAATTTCATCACAGCTTGAAAGAGCATCACAGAATTAGTAATATTCTAAAGTTTCGTTACGAAATGTTGTAAAATGCGGATAATATAACCCTGCGAAGTTTGCCGTTTTTCAGTCATTTTGTATTACAAACGGGAAATTGATGCCCCAACACCCGATTTCGGTATCAATTTCCCGTTTGTAATACAAAATTACTGAAAGACGGCATTTTACAACATTTCGTAACGAAACTTCGGAATATTACTAATTTTGTAATGCTCTTTCAAACTATGATGAAATTTTTGTCTAGATCAAAATTTTATTAATAAGGTTTAAGGTCCATTAACTCCGTTGGGAAGTAAGGTGGTTGGTACAAGCAGTGCGAACACATCCTGTTTACAAGTTGTTGGAACGGCACCGTTACAAGTCTGCTGCAGGTTTGTTACAACTTGTGCGTTTCTATGTGTGTGATCTATTTGTCGCATTTAAGTAGCTATATCGGAATTCACTTTCGTAATCAAGAAACGACGCCACAAAAAACAAATTGTGTATTTCAACGTCTAATGCTTTATATTCCCTGAAAACGACCAACAATATTTAGATGTTCCATCGTAGAGTGACATGGTTGTATTCTTACGTTTTTTGAATAAAATGCTCAGCTGTATTATTGCCAAAGTATTTTAAAGCCGACGCCGAGACGTACTTGCAGGGAGGTGATTCCGAGATTAAACGCATCGAGGGTGGCTGAAAGTTTCGCGAACTTACCGAGCGAAGCGAGGTGAGTTCGGGAAACTTCCAGCCACCCGAGGTGCGTCCAATCCCGGACTCACCGAACCTGCAAGTACATTTGGTTTTTATCCCATACACCGAGCCATACACACATTTGTAGCTCTTCGCGATATATTCGTCGATGTTTTGTGAACATTTTCCCGGCCAAAAAAATCACTGGGCAAGAAAATACTTCTTTATCTACGTCTACATTACCTTTACTGCATTTTTTCTTTGGTTTTTCTTCAGTCTCAGTATGTTAGTCACCGAAAAAAGTTCTTTAAAGTTTAGGTTTATCGGCTAAATCTTGTCCGCCATATTTGTTATTGTTATTGCAACGTAAGCAGTTTAGCGGATGAGTTCGGGCGAAAAGCAGGTGAGTTCGGCAAAAAGCAAGTGAGCTCAACGACAAGCTCACCTGCTCTAAACCAATCAGAAAGCCGCTTTTAACACAGGTATGGGATAAGCTGGTTGACACAAACAGCTCGCGCCTTACTTCCGGTTTTATTACTGATCATGCAGTCAATAACTGTTTCATTGTTGACCAATTGCCCCCTCGCCAAAGCATGCAGTAAAAATGACGTTTTGTGCACCGGCACGTGATACGGTTTTGACCAATCGGCAAACAGGAAAATTGAACTTTGACACTTGCTACATAATAATTCTCCATGTACACGCAATGTACTAATTCTCCTTGTGTGATCAACCTTGTAACATTCTTGTTATATCATGACTGTATCAGACTTGTTAGAACAACTTCGCTACAAGTCTGATAATGCCATCAACCTTTTTACAAGTTCTTCCAAACTTGTTACAAGAACGCGAACACAACTTGTTGATAGTTTGTGAATAGAATTGTGACAACTTGTTTGCAGATCTGTAACATCGTGTGTGTTTTAACGTGTTTAGTAGGTCCCCTAAAACGTTTCCAATTCAAATATAAAAACAAATTACTCACGCTGTAAAGTAGAATAGAACAGATCATGACCACAGAGACATTTAGAGTTGAAAACTTAAAATCTACAAAAAAGTTGGAAAAAAGTTCGGAACTCAATCATCATTTAAACCCATTGATTTAAACTCATTAGAACCAAAAGAACCAGTGGCGTGCTGGCAGGGGGGGCCGGGGGGCCACGGCCCCCCCAGCTGGCAATTTTTGGGGGCGCAAAAATGAAAAGGGGGCGCGATCCCGCGCCGAATTTTGAAAGTAGGTGGGAAGAAACGCATTCGAAAAAATTAGTTACTAATTCCGCCAAGGAAAGATGTGTTTATAGACTTATAAACTAAGCGCATAGGCGACAAAGTGAGTATATTAAATTGCAGACTATTTTGTCTAACCGTATTTGCTACCTCACGACTCACACGAAATCACTCGTTCATATAGAAACATGATCAGTGATCACACGCAATGTCTCATTACCGGAATATTGATCAGGCTTCGAAGCGATCACGGGAATTATGCCCTTTTTTGTTGGTATTATACCCTTATATTATGCCCTTTATTATGCTTCACGAATCACGAGAGCGGGGCAAATTAGATAGTTGAAGTATGATAATGTAAAGTTGTGTACGCAATTTAATTGTTTGCGCAAGAAACATTATGAGTAATGTAAGTAATGAGATAATGATGAAACACGCCCTTTTGGCAGCCAGGCAAGGAAACCTTAAAATGCATATGCGTGGGGTCCGTGTGTTATTGTATAAAAGAGCTGTAAGTTGTAATTGTATTCAGATCAGTAGAGAATAGAATTGGGATTAGATTAATTTGTGGAAGTAGTTAGCATTGCCCAATTTAAGTGCTACTACTAAATTCTAACCAATTTTCAAATTTCGACACGTTGTAATGCCGTTTCCTGACCATCAGATTTCTGTCAAATCTTCCCCCATGCAAAGTCCAGGAAATGGCATTTCAGAGACTCTAAATTCAAAAATTTTCCTGGGGGCATACCCCCGGACCCTCATAGACAAACCTCGCACCTGCGGCGCTCGGCTCGTGCATTCGGCCCTCGTTTATCAAGGGTAATATTATAGGGGCGGATATTAGTTGCCTGCCGACTGGCCCCCCCAGAAAAATAGTACCCAGCACGCCACTGAAAAGAACTATCCCGATTCTGTCTAAGGGCGTGTTCATATGAGCTAACCTGGAAACTGACCTCAGTGAGATCTGCATGGCCTTTGTTAATGCATATAAAATTCAATTTGTATTAATATGTGAAACAAGCCAGCCAGGCTGGGTGAGATCTAGCATCCCGCTCGTGTTTTAAATACTGCATGTAGTACTTATAGTTTAGATGTTCGAATTACAAATGAGTGATATGTCCTTAAACCACCGTATCAGCCTGATACTGTATTTCGAATTCTGGATCTGAAGCACTTACTTTTCTCGGGATTGTAAATTTTTCTCAGGTAGAACTCTATTCCTGAATAATGGCGGGCAGGTCTATACAAATGTGGCGAAATATTTGATTAGTAGTAAGTTAAACGGGATTTTCAATATTGGATCCGCAGTAACCCCTTTAATGCAATGTTTCGAAAGAAATGTTGTGCTAATGTAATGTAATGTAATGCAATGTAATGAAGGGAGAATTGGATGACTCGTACAGTAATAGTTCATATAAAATACATTGATATATTTATACAAACGTTCATGTAGTTAACTTTTGGCGGCTACGTTCTAAGCCTTGTTAGCATTTAAATGGATATAGGCGCTGCATCTACCCTAAATTTTTTCCACCTCGCCCAGCTTTCCCACCAAAATCCGGTCTTGGCTTTACAAACCGGGGGTACTTCTTAGTTCTCAGCCCTTCTAGAAAACTGTGTTTATGTACTCTATCTTGAACACTACAGTAAGTACTTATCTTAAGTTTGTCTATAGTAATATCTTAAGTTTGTACCATCTTTAGTAATAGGGAATTTAAGCTTCACGTTTCCGGGAACGGCAAACGGCAGGTTCAAACTATTTTGGAAAATTTTTCCTTGAATGTTTTCATTTCATTTTTTTTTTCTTGCATCGAGAGAATAATTATGTATTTCAGTTTTAATTAAAAAAGCAAGTTCATAAGTTCATTTGCTCTTTATTGCCTTGGTACCGTAAAATTTTCTTTGCCTGGCGTTTGATGTATAACGCGAAGCTTAAATAGTAATATCTTATGTATCTTTAGTAATATCCAAGTAATATCTTAAGTTTGTACCATCTTTAGTACGTGGCAATAATAATTGAAGAACAATAAGTGGGGGTATGCTAATCATTCTTACTTGCAGCTGAGAGCTACTGTAGGTTGGATTGCGAAGAACGCATTCCAACTAAGGGCGCCTCTGGCTGCCACCTTACGGCTTCTGACTCATATTTGATCACGAAGCACAGCTACGCACACGGTGAAAGGGTCGGTTAGGGGCTAATCCCAACCCACCTTGATGACATTCTATGCGGGAGGAAACCGAGTACCCGAAAAAAACCCACGATTTTCGGTAGAGCTTCGTTAGATTCTTTTTACATGAATGCCATAAGGCCAAAAAAATATGTGGGTTTCCGGTTTCTTCTTATAAAAACTTAGGTAGGGTAAGTCGGTTTTAACTTTTTTTTTAACTTTTTTTTTAATTTTCCGAATAAGCGGACGCCATTTTGTTTAGTCAGTGCTTCCACATCCAAAGATAAATTTCCCTAATATTGCCTCAAATTTCAATTTTCCACAAACTTTTTCCTCTAAGTGGAAACACTTACAAGCATGATCCAATAAAAAAGTTTAGGGTCGGGATTTCGACGTCCAAAAGCTAGGTAGGGTCGGGAAACCGGAAACCCACATATTTTTTTTTGCCTAAGTTCGTAGCAAGAATCGAACTAACGATTGCATAAGTTAAGGGTGCTTGCTCTGATGATCCGCCACCCTTCGAAAGTCCCAGGCCCAGTGCATACAGTACGGCAGAAAACCTTGAATTATCACACCCTGCATCACCAATCCACGCACAGGGAATGCCACTAGTGTTCTTCATGTTTCATTTTCAGTCATGTTATTACCCATGCTCTTACCTTGAGTTAAGGAGGTCGTGCACGTAATTTCGCAACCAAGGTCTGATCAATTTCACCTGCTGAGAAGCATTTTCATCCTAAATGGACATTATATGTGATATGAATGATACGAAACGTTCAAGTTCATGTTGGCATGAATAAATTATACCTTCACTAAATATGCATTTAGTCATGTTTAGCCCAAGAAAGCGAGCGAAACTTATGCAAAGTTTCTATCCAATATTATGATGAGAAAATATTTTTAAATCTATCAAATTCTTTGCAAGTGTTTAAATTAGTATTATTATCAAGCAAATGTATTTTCCTATCTAAGGGCCTGTTCATATGCATATGGGAAAAAGTTATCCCGGTTAGCGAAAAAACATTTCGACAAGTTTACATGCGAGATCTTGCCTTGTTATGAAAATAATATGAAACGTTACACTATGTCATAGACGAAACGTTTTCCCGCGTGTACCGAGATCTCGCTTGTTGACAGGCGAGATCTCGGTGACCGAGATAACGTTTTTCCCATATGAACGCAACACAACCACAACTTTCTCGCTTAGCGGAAAAACTTTCTGTCGTGTCATCAACTTTTCTGGTTTTAAAATGCATTTTAAGGTGGCTCCCTACAGTTCTCTAAAATTCTAGGTATTTTGAGTAACGTTCGCTTTGTACCGAATTTATATTAGATACTTACTGTCGTTCCAATTGAAGTGTTGCTCAAATATTGATTCAATACATTACCTGGGGCTGACCAATTCATTTCATCAAGTTCCTCGAGATATTCATACACTTCCTAGTATAATTGTAAACTTCCTATTGAATAGTTTGAATGCACCAATCACCTTTGTTATTTGTGCAACTAACCAATCATAAATAGAAAGGAAGTGACCAGAAATGATCAAATACTTGGCTCTTTCACAGGAAGTGTATGAATATCTCGAGGAACTTGATGAAATGAATTGGTCAGCCCGAGGTAATGTATTGAATCAATATTTGAGCAACACTTCAATTGGAACGACAGTAAGACAAGGCAATATGATCATTTCCAGGAAAGTTCAGAAGCTGTGCACGTGTGCTGTCCATTTATGAACAAATTAAAACAGTGTTCGTGTTGCCATGACAACCATGACGTTTAATGTTTCGCACTTTTATTGTCTAACTTCACAATAAATTGACAATATCAATATTTTCCTTCGGTGAATTTTTCTGAAAATTTTTTTGAAGATTTATGGTCCATAAAGGAAAAACCTATCAAAATTTGAAGGGAATTTACAAATAAGTTTTCGAGATATTCGTGAATGACGGTTACAGAAAAAGTTACTTGTAGAATTTCGTAAAATTTGGATATGTTGTACCACTCGTCTTGTATAACAAAAATACAAAGTTTAAAAAAAAATTTCAAGTTTAACTTTTCATATAAAACAACTCATAACTGTTTTATTTGATTTAGCAGATAAAACGATACCTGTGAATTGAATTGATTGACAGAACTTACATAAGTTTCGGCGACAGTTCACTACTGTTCAAGAGTTAATAGAAGACAGTATCATTTCAGTTTGACAGTTCGAAACACCCACAAGTTGAATATTTTGAGCAATATGAAAGACAATACTCAACGTAAATATGTAAAAACACACTAAAAGATAGGTTAAACTAGTTAATAACATACGTACTGTTCGAAAAACTGGAGCTTTCTTTGTAGATAAAAACGCCAAAAAACTTCCCGCGGCTTGTTTCAATATTTTTCCCGAACAGTAAACACGACGATTCCACGCGCAAGTCGCGAGGATGAAGTCTAAAACTGTACTAACTGTAGGGAGCCACCTTAAAGTGAACAGAAAAACTTTTCCGCCTTGCGCGTCACACCAGTTGTACATCACAAGCCGGAAACTTTACCGCCAGTATGGCCGCCACTGATTTCATTTATGCATAGCAAATGCACTATCGCGTACTACATAATTTTGAGCATGCATAGAGATTTTTAAAAAATAAAGTGGGCATTGCAGGAAATATTCAGGCAAACGAAAGGGACAAATTGAAGCTTGATAACGGAGGCAAATTTGAGTTATACACCAGTATAAAACCAATTGGAAAACACCAGTATAAAACCAAACTATTTTTCACCTTTTTTCACCTACAATTTAAGTATTCAATCCTGATTGTATCAACAGTCCGGACTGTTTTACATGACCATTTTATATAGTGGAAAATGATGAAAAATTGAACGTGCCGAAGTCACGAAGAAAACACCTTCAGAATCGAAAAACCCAAACCCTTTGAGGCTGTCAATTTCCCGTTTGTAATCTAAAATGACTGATAATTGCAAACTTGGCAAGGCTATATTTTCCGCATTTTACAACATTTCGCAACGAAACTTTGGAATATTACTAATTTTGCGATGCTCTTTCAAGCTGTGATGAAATTTTTGTCTAGACTTGTTTAGATCAAAATTTAGTCTATTACGCAAATGGTCAATTCGGAAGGTTGGGCGGGAACTTCGCAACGAATTTTGCAAGTTCATTTCAACGTTCGAACTTCGATTGTAAACAAATGTAAAAATTTAATTTATAAATTTATTTACAAAGGCATTTTCATCTTGGGAGACGACCACTGGATCAATATTCTACTGCAGTAATATGTGCATACGGCCTTATACAGTAATTTCAACTCCAAATATGAACATTTGTTTACAATCAAAGTTCGAACTTTGAAATGAACTTGCGAACTTCGTGTTGAAAAGTTACCTGAAATCGACAATAAAACATTTCGACCGTTACAAAACTTGTTTTGTAATAAAGTCCAGGTATTCTTGTCGACTTTGAGCTTTTAGTCATTGGACATTGCTTGAACTATATGGTAAAACTGGAAAAAGTTGTATTATTTTCGTAATTTCCCGCTTCTCCTAAATATCGCGGCTTTGCTTCCTGGAATGAGAATTTACACCCGGGCAACGAGATTTTAGCCAATCAGAGAGCGTTAGTTGCCCCATGCAGTAGGAAGCTTTAAGCCCCGTTTACACTACGCTCAATTTTTGGTACGGCACGGATAAAATTGGTACCCGTACCACTTTTTTGGTTCTTGGACTACCTATTTAGGTAGTCCAAGAACCAAAAAGTGGTACGGTACCAAAAATTGAGCGTAGTGTAAACGGGGCTTAGCTAAATAGGTAGGCCAAGAACCAAAAAAGTGGTACGGGTACCAATTTTATCCGTGCCGTCCAAAAAATTGAGCGTAGTGTAAACGGGGCTTTAATTTGTCCCTCGATATTTCGCACAATGCTATGCTTTTGAGGTCAGCGGAAAAACATTACTTACGACGTTATGAGAATATAGCCGCATTCCGAATATTCCATGTTCCTTGATTTCCTTATAAAGTACAAGTATAAACTTGCCCAGTATAAACAGGTGACATAATATCGTCGGTATAATTGGTAATATCTTCAAAACATATTCTTCCCATGTCGTAATTTTCTAATGATTAATAAATTAAAACAGGCTGTCAAAAAGAACTGTTCAAACTCTGGAGTTTTTCGTTCCACCCCGCCATCAGGGTGAGGGGTTAGATGGAGGCGAGGAACAGGTTATCAATGTGTCTGTATGATGATATACGTCATACATAAAAGTGCACCTGTATGATTGATGACCGCCATTTTTTTTTTAAAAATCATATTTTTAATTGCACTCCTGGTGAGTGCAATAAGACCTTAAGGCGTAATTCCAGTTCTCGCACGAAGCTCCTCGCATATCTATGCTCGCTGCGAGTGCTTGCATCTAATTAAAATTAACTCCTAAGCATTGTGATTGGATGAAAATGCTCATGCATGCACTCGCAGCGAGGAGCTTCGTGCAAGAACTGGAATTGCGCCCTTACGCATAATGCGTGCGTGGAATGCTGGTCTTGGTACTTATCGCCCGTGAAAATTAAACAATTCAATGTATATGCACGTATGGAAAACGCGTATACCTGGAAAGCGGCCTTTAGGGTCTAACGCCTGTATTCTAAAAGCTCACTCGCAGTTACCCTCCAGCTATTCAAAAATAGCAGTGACACTCAAGGGAAGCTCAGATTGAACCTCCATTCTTTGAGTGCGAGTGAGCTTTTAAAATACAGGCGCAAGCAACAGAAAAACTTGGTGTTGCTTAGATTAATCACCTTACCAAGTTGCAATTAAAAAAGATCATCGCACCCACACTGAACCCTGACGCAGAAGCAAAAGTAGGGAAAGACATGTTATATTATGAGACATTCAATGCCTTAAATGAACTTACATTACACTTTGGAAAAGCAACCGCCAATGTGAAAGAAAAACTGCAATAAGAACACAAAGTAATTACAATAATAAGTATCATAAAAGGATGTTTGCGGAAAACTTATTTAAGCAAAATGAGTGACTCGATGCCGTGGAAAACATGCATTGGAATTTTAAAAACAGTTTAACTAAAAACATTGGAACATTCCGATGAACTATGTGTCGTGCTGCTCATGTTATGGAAAGAGCTTGATCAGTTAGTTATACAAGTATTTTTTATACTTTGTTTTCACTAAATTCATCTTATTGGTTTATTTTATGTCACATGATCGCTTTTATATTTAGTATAAAAGCTCACATAATGGACTTTTCTCCTTATAACTAAAATTAGGATCTACACAAATATTTCATCACAGTTTGAAAAAGCATCACAAAATTAGTAATATTCCAAAATTTCGTTGCGAAATATTGTAAAATGCGGATAATATAACCTTGCGAAGTTTGCCGTTTTCAGTCATTTTGTATTACGCATGGGAAATTGACAGCCCAATCGGGTGTTGAGGCATCAATTTCCCGGTAAAATTTTTGTCTAGACTTGTCTAGATCAAAATTTTAGTTATAAGGGGAAAGGTCCATTTTCCCGACCCCCGCTACTACTTAATGCTAATTACTGCCCGACGAAGGGCCTTCGCTCGAAACGTCGAAATCAGTTGTGGGAAAGTGTAGGGATATAGACGGACAAGCGATCATTCATGTTGATATCTAGAGATAGAAACGGACAGGACATTATAAATGTGGATATGTAGGGATAAATAGGGTTATAAAAACACGTGTGAGAATCCAAGATGGCGGAACGTTGTTGTTTTTCGAGAGCATTTATTTAGTATAAAAATAGCATGTTTTAGATATTAAAAAGGAATAGAACCAATCGTAGGTCTTTATTGTCGTCTCATAAAGCGTTTAACGAAAAAGTGGCACCTCTGACGTGAATGGGAACTGTGATTTTAAGCGAAAATCTCGGGAAATTTGTGTAAATTTGTGAAAATATGGCGACCTACGAAGGTAAATTGAAATCGATGGAGACTAAGATCAAACTACTGAAGCTAACGACGAACAATTGAGAAAGGACACGTACCGTCACTCGAAAGACAACAAAGAGTGCTCAAAACGAAATTGGAAGAAGTATACAGTTTAAAAGTTGAAATACAAGAGCTTAAAATTCAAAGTGACGAGGAGACAGATAATATACGTGAGTGGAGCTCGGATATCGACAGCCAGTTGACGACTTTTGAAGGGAATATAGAAAAGCTTGAAAGCGTGATAAAGGAACTGAACAAAAGATCATTGGAACAAACAAAGCAAGACGAAGAACAACTTATAGAGCAAATGAAGCAGAAACAATTCGAAAGAGAGATGAAATTTGAAGAAGAAAAATTTGAACAACGAATGATGTATGAGAAGAAAATCGAAGAAAGCCGCCAAGCTCAAGTCAAGACTAAGGATAATCTTTCAAGGTCAAATTCAAAGCTACCAAAACTTGTTATTTCGAAATTTAACGGAGAATTTACTGACTGGCTCAGATTTTGGAATCAGTTTGAGGCGGAGATAGAGGCTGCTGAAATACCTATTGTAACTAAATTTTCCTACCTGAAAGAGCTGCTAGATGCAAAAGTTCGAAGCCGTATTGATGGTTTACCCCTGTCCTCTGAAGGGTACGAACGTGCCAAAGCTATTTTGAAGGGCAAGTACGGGAATACTAGCGAAATAGTTAATGCCTACATCCAGAACATATTATTGCTACCTCGGGTCCAGGGCTCCAATCCTGCAAAGATAGATGATTTTTACGAGAAGCTTCTATGGAATGCCCAATCGCTTGAAACCCTGGGGAAGTTGAAAGAAATAGCTGGTTATGTTCGAATGACTATTGATAAATTGGAAGGAATTCGTGGAGATCTAGTTCGAACTGATGACTCCTGGCAAGAGTGGAAATTCCCAGAATTGATTGAAGCATTAGGGAAGTGGACAGTAAGAAACCCAATCAAAAAGGAGGAAAAGATTAATGACACCAATTCAGTTGGTACAAAGAAAACCAGAAGCTTCCAAACAAAGCAACAAGAATCCAAACCAAAACCATGTATTTATTGTGAGAACACTGACCATAAGCCAGCCGAATGTAAGAGTGTTGTTACTGTTGCTGACCGCAAAAAGATCCTTTCCACTAAACAACTATGTTTTAACTGTACAGGAAAAAGTCATAAAGCATCTGAATGTCGAAGCCAATTGGGATGTCGCAATTGCAAGAGAAGACATCACACCTCGATTTGTGAAAGTAAAACCCCCTACTTGTGGCTACAGGCGAAGGAGCAGTCGTATATCCAATAGTCGTGGTAGAAGTAGATGGAATCATGTGTAGAGCTTTATTAGACACTGGCGCTGGAAGCTCCTATGCTTCTGCAACTCTCCTAGCTCGTCTGAATACTTCACCTGTTCGCAAAGAGTATCGAAGAATTGAGATGATGATGCAATCGAGCACCAAGATGATAGAAGTTCACAAGATCAAGATTGATAGCTTAGAAGAAAACTTTCATCTTGATACCGAGGTAACAAAAGTTGACCGTGATAAACTCCTTTCCCTAACCAACCCCAGATACAAGGAGATAATAGAGAAATTCACCTACCTCAACGGAATAAAGATGCAAGATGTGGATGAGAAGCCAGAATTGCCTGTTCACCTTATTCTAGGGGCAAGTGAATATGCGAAAATTAAAACCGAAACCAGACCCCGTGTTGGTAAACCTGGAGACCCTGTTGCAGAATTCACCCGTTTTGGTTGGACCCTTATCTCACCTGGAAGTGAAGTGGACTTGTCAAACATGTTCTTAACGCAAACGTCAACCGTGGACTATGAAAATCTCTGCAGCCTTGATGTGTTGGGCTTGAAAGATTCGCCAGCAGGAATATGAAGAATTCAAGGAACAGTTGATCAGACGCCCAGATGGATCGTATGAAACCGGCCTTCCCTGGAGAGGATGCCATCCACCTTTACCAAATAATGAGCTGGGAAGTCTAAGAAGGTTAAATTACCTTGCCAGGAAGTTGGAGAAACAACCCGGTATGCTTCAGAAGTATGATGATGTTATCAAAGATCAGTTATCGCAAGGCATTGTAGAGAAAGCAACAGAAGAAGCAGATGGTCGTGAGTTCTACATCCCTCACAAACCCGTTGTTCGTGATTCCGCCGAGACAACCAAGCTTCGCATCGTTTACGATGCTTCTGCTCGAGAGAATGAGAAAGTACCTTCCCTGAACGAGTGTTTGGAAACTGGGCCATCCTTGCAGAACTTACTTTGGAGCGTGTTGGTGAGAAATCGATTTTATCCAGTGGCCATTGCGGGAGATCTGAAGCAAGCATTCTTACAAGTGTGGATAAAGAATCAAGATCGAGATGTGTTGAAATTTCATTGGTTCAAAGATTTGGGAACTAAAGAAGTGGAAACACTACGATTCACACGTGCCCTGTTTGGCCTGGCTCCATCCCCCTTCCTTCTGGGAGGAGTGATTGAACAACATTTGGAACTGTGTCAAGAGAGATTCCCACACGAAGTAGAAGAGATCAGACGAAGCCTTTATGTGGATGACCTTATTGGTGGAGGAGAGACCCCAGCCAAAGCCCTACACTTGAAAGAAACATCTCAAACGATTTTTGGCAAAGCAAACTTTGAACTTCATAAGTGGCATTCAAACAACCCTGACCTAGAAACAACCAGCACATCCACCCTTGACCAACAACAAAGTTATGCGAAGGAACAACTAGGAGTGCAGCAAGGTGAAACCAAGTTACTGGGCTTACCATGGAAGAAAGGTGAAGATACTATAGCAGTCAAAGTGTCGCAACAGAAAGCAGAACCCACAAGAAGAGGAATCTTGGGTACCTTGCCAGAATCTACGATCCATTAGGATTAGTGTCACCAATCACTGTGGCTGGTAAGATGCTGTATCGTGATGTTTGTGAAATCCAAAAATGTTGGGACAAACAGCTACCTACTCCAGTTCTTAACAAATGGTTGTGTTGGGAGAAACATCTACCTGACCAAGTGACAGTACCAAGAAGCCTTGTCAAGTATCAAGAAGAGATCACAGGAATCCAACTGCATACTTTCGGGGACGCAAGTGGAAAAGGGGTTTCAACGATAGTGTATGCAGTGATTCAGCAACAGACAGGAGTCAGCCAGGGACTCGTTGCCGCCAAGTCGCGTCTCGCAAAACACGGACTGACCATTCCCAGACAAGAGCTAGTGTCGGCGCATATGAGTACTAACCTCGTGAAAGTAGCATTGGCGGGTTTTCCAGTAACAGGCGTTTATGGTTGGCTTGATAGTACCGTGGCTCTCCATTGGATAAACGGGAATGGAGAATATAAACAGTTTGTAAGAAATCGCGTAAGAAAAATACAAGAAAAGCATTACATCCAGTGGGGACATGTACCTACAGCCGAAAACCCAGCAGACGTGGGAAGCCGTGGTGGATCTGTAGAACTATCAGAACTTTGGTGGCGGGGACCTGCATGGCTGCAGCATCCAGAAAGTTGGCCAGAGACAGTTGTTACGAGCGCGACTGCAGAAAGTGAATCCGAAGCTAAGATTGTACGAGATGTGTTGGCAGTAGCGATGCGAGAGGAAGATAAGCTTGATGAGCTGATGGAAAAGTTCGAGTATTGGAAAGTCATACGAACAACCGCTTGGGTAGCAAGGTTCACCAGCAATTGCAAGTTGAAGCAATCGGAACGAATCAAAGGTCCTCTAAAGACAGCAGAAACCAACCTTCAAGTCGATTTCTGGGTAAAGAGAGTGCAAGAGAAATGTCAAGGAACCAGAGAATTCGAGGAAGATCGACAGCGTCTCAACTTACAGAGAAATGACAAAGAGTTGTTCGAATGTCGAGGTAGAATTCAGGGAGATTACCCAGTATACCTTCCTGACAAGTCAACACTTACAGAAAAGCTGGTGATGGATGCTCATGTGCGAACTTTGCATGGGGGAGTGGGACTTGTTATGACAGAAATCAGAAAGGAGTACTGGATCCCTCGTCTGCGAAGTGTTACGAAGCGTGTAATCAAGAAGTGCTATGGCTGCAAACGTCATCAAGCTACCGCCCTTGCTCAACCACCTCCGGGCAATCTTCCGCGAAATAGAACTGAAGGAGCATGGCCATTTCAAGTTGTCGGAATTGATTATGCTGGACCGATAGCGTATCGAGCTAAGAAAGGTCAAGAGAAGAAGTCATACATATTGCTTTACGCTTGCAGTTTGACACGCGCATTATACTTGGAGTTGCTGCCTGATCTTACGACCGACGAATGCATTCGAAGTTTGAAGCGACTTATTGCAAGACGGGGACGACCGGACCGGATTTACTCAGACAAAGGGAAAACTTTCGTCGCAGCTGCAAATTGGTTACGTAAGGCTATGAGAGATGAACAGTTGCATGATTGGCTAGCGAAGCAGAAAATTGCATGGCAATTCAATTTAAGCCGCGCCCCTTGGTGGGGTGGTCAATTTGAAAGGATGGTGGGGCTTGTGAAACAAGCTCTCTATAAGACCACGGGTAAAGCAAATTTGCGCTGGGAGGAACTGGAAGAAGTGCTCTTGGATATTGAGACAGTCCTAAACAATCGACCATTAAATTACGTCGAAGATGACATTCAATTGCCAATTCTAACACCACATGCCATGATAGTAGGACGTCCTAATTTGATACCAGAAAGTGCAGAACTTGATGATGAAAACGATGGTGATCTGAGAAAAAGAGCAAAGTACTTGCAACGATGTAAAAATGCATGGTGGTCGAGATGGTCAGCTGAGTATTTGAAAGCTTTGAGAGAACGACACAACTTGAAGAACAAAACAACGGAGATGAATGCAAAACCTGGAGATGTAGTCTTAATAAAGGGTGATGAACGAAATCGTGGGCGATGGAAAATTGGCATCGTAGACAAGCTGATAAAGGGCAGAGACGGGATTGTGAGAGCAGTACGATTGCGAGCTGGTAAGTCGTTCCTGGAACGTGCCATACAACAGTTGTATCCGATGGAGTTATCGTGCGACAGAGCAAGCCAGAAGAAATTGGATGCAACAGTTAAAGAATTCACACCAAAACGACGTGCAGCAAAGATAGCGAAAGAGAACATTCGTTTAATTGCTGAAGAAGAAGAGGAAGAACATTAGCATGGAACATTTAGCAGTTATGGGTTAATACTGAACAGTTACGTCCGTATTAGGACTATTATGACGTTGAAGTTGACTTTATCATATAACCGTAAATATATTTACCTTTGGACTAGCCAAAGTAAATAGGGGGAGAGTGTGGGAAAGTGTAGGGATATAGACGGACAAGCGATCATTCATGTTGATATCTAGAGATAGAAACGGACAGGACATTATAAATGTGGATATGTAGGGATAAATAGGGTTATAAAAACACGTGTGAGAATCCAAGATGGCGGAACGTTGTTGTTTTTCGAGAGCATTTATTTAGTATAAAAATAGGATGTTTTAGATATTAAAAAGGAATAGAACCAATCGTAGGTCTTTATTGTCGTCTCATAAAGCGTTTATCGACACAGTCCTTTTATCAAGTAGTTGCATCCCTACCAACGAAAGTTTGATTATAGAGTAGTGACCTGTCCGCTCATTATCAACTTACATTCAGCTACTAGAATGATCAGTATTACTACACACGGCACAAAATGCCGAGCACACTGCTCAACAGGACTGAAGAATGTTTTGCTGCCCACGTTGTTCACACTTGTCAATAATATTGAACAATACTGTTGAGCCTGAATCGGGTGTAACAGTATTGTTCGATATTGTTGACAGCTACGAACAATGTGGGCAGGAAAGCATTGTTCAATCCTGTTTTCATCAGTATTGCATCAACCCGAGCGTTTTTACGCGTGTATATCAAATTCAAAACTACTTACTAGGCAACAGCGTAAGGAAGCCCCACCAACGCTCCAAAAATTCTGTGATATGAAGCCAAACATCCAAAGTACGGATAATACAGGAAAGCAACTCCGACAGCAGCCGCAATGCGACTAAATGCTAGAAGAAAATTGAATGTTTTAATAAAGCTGAGCTAAGATTAAGAGGCAAAGAAAGTTGGCAAAGGAAAATAGCTTTTTCTACTCTAATGGCTTCGTCAAACAAAAACAAGTTAAGCTTGCATGCAAAGAGTTGACAGCATGGTTATGGTTTGCACGATAGTTTTCTTAACTCTCATGCCACTTATTTCTCATGACCGTATCAATCGTTCAGCTTATAATCAAAGTTGATTAAACTTTGTGGTCAAAGTTTAAGTTTAGCTCATACACAAAATCAGCTAATGAGACCGCGTAGCTGGGAGGGGAGGGAGGGGAGGAAGGGGGCCATGACCCCACCACTTTTTTGACATTGAAAGATAACAGGAAAGATTTCAATATCAGTTGGCAAATTTTGAAACGCGCTATTTCGTATACGGGAGGATCAAAACGATGTAATTTATGTTTAGAGGAAAAATTTTGTATTTTGAAAGAAAACCAAAACTTTTTACTCAATAAAAGAATGGAAATTATATCTACGTGCAGACATAGGAAGAAATTTCGCGTAAACAAAGCAAATACATGCATAGTAACCCACACACTCCCACAATTCGATTAGGTATTTCCGCGTAAACAACGCAAACAATAGATTGAATGCATGCTTTGTTTAACCCACTCACCCCCACGTTTCGGAAAAAACACATATAAGCAGCCCTAGTTTCGAAAATTGTCATACCGCCTGATGATTCTTTACTGATGAAACAGACTGTTGCGGAATTTTGAGGTAAGCGAAATTATATATATATATATATATATATATATATATATATATATATATATATATATATATATATATATATATATATATATATATATATATATATATATTATATATATATATATATATTATATATATATATATATATATATATATAGTATATATATATATAGTATATATATATATAGTATATATATATATATATATATATATATATATATATATATATATATATATATATATATATATATATATATATATATATATATATCGAGACCATTTTGGTGGTTCTATATTACATTGTTTTTAGGCCTGGCAATAAGTAATACATGAAAGTAAGAAAAGCATTCATACCAGTTTCCCAATCGTTACTTCCCTCAACCATGTCATATATATGTATATATATATATATATATATATATATATATATTATATATATATATATATATATATATATATATATATATATATATATATATATATATATATATATATATATATATATATATATATATATATATATATATATAACTACAGACGGTACCGTTTCGGCCTTTTGGGCCTCATCAGTGTAGTGCTGATGAGCAGGATGAAAATATATATATACATATATATATATATACCGGGTGGCCCAAAAAAAAGTACTCCTGTTTGATTCGTAATAACATCTAAACAAGTATAGCTTTTAAAGAGAAATAACTTGCATCAAATAGAGGAAGGACTAACTTAGACTTTGATATATTCAGTTGTATTTCACTTAAAAATTCACGGAGATATTAATCTTTAAATTCGGGAGGATATTTCTGGATGTGTCTGAAATATGCAAAAATCGGCGTATCAAATATTAATCAAGATTTGCCCGACTGAAACATACACTATTACCAGTAAATAAATGACACTTGACAAATTGTTTATTATGAAACAAAGTATTATTATATCTACAAAATACAAGCAAGATTCATTCGTCCGAAATTTGCGTGTGTTCCTAACACGAATACGTTTCCTTATTTCATGAGACCACTGCATCGCGAAGGATCGTCATTGGATCGTTCGTAGTTCTGAATTAGGGCATGCTGTCACAACGGAATTGTGAAGCTCTTCTAACTTCTGCAACGTTCTGAAATCTTGTTAAGAACACCCAAACTCTTTTGCCGTTTCTTAATCTTGGCAAGTTCATGGAGTAAACTGAGAATTATATGAAACACAATCAAACCATACAACTCCATAAGACATAACAATTAAGCAACTCCCCAGAGACATGCAACATTTTTGGAACAAAACGTAACAAAATAGTAGCGTTGATACGGTGATGTGTATTTGCAAAAAGCAATATTATTTCCTTCAATAAAGAATATTCATCCTGCTCTAACCGAGAAATAATCTACTCAGTCTGTTTGAACCCATTAAAAACATAAAAAAATTAGGCTATTTAAGAATACGAAAAATTTAAGCGCCTGCCTTCCATGGTCAGTCTTTCATGTACATTTAAGTTTGCAAAGACCTAATATTAAATACTTGCATAATTTCGAACGTTCATATTTCAGGAAACAATGAGCTAAGACTTACATGTAAGATGTCTAAATCTACGCCATATCCCTTACAAACCTTAACGATAATTCGCTGAAATACAAGTTAGCCTAATATGTCATTAAGCAAACAAACGCTGGAGTTAATATTTGATATGCCGATTTTCGCTAATTTTAGACACATTCCAAAATATGCTCCCCATTTTTAACATTAATATATCCGTGAATTTTTAAGTTAAATACAACTGTAATATATCAAAATCTAAGTTAGTCCTTCCTCTATTTAATGCAAGTTATTTCTCTTTAAAAACTTTACTTGTTTAGAAGTTATTACGAATCAAACAGGAGTACTTTTTTTTGGGCCACCCGGTATATATTTATATATATATATATATATAATATGTAATAAAGATATTATAAGATATATATATATATTATAATATATATATATTATAATATATATATATATATATATATATATATATATATATATATATATATATATATATATATATATATATATATATATATATATATATATATATATATATATATATGTGTATGTATGTATGTATATATATACCGGGTGTCCCAAAAAAAAGTACCCCGGTTTGATTCGTAATAACTTCTAAACAAGTAAACCTTTTAAAGAGAAATACTTGCATCAAATAGAGGAAGGGCTAACTTAGATTTTGATATATTACAGTTGTATTTCACTCAAAAATTAACGGAGATATTAATGTTTAAATTCGCGAGCATATTTCTGGATGTGTGTGAAATATGCAAAAACGGCGTATCAAATATTAATCAAGATTTGCCCGACTGAAACATGCACGATTACCAGTAAATAAATGACACTTGACAAATTGTTTATTATGAAACAAAGTCTGCATAATAAATATTATATACAAAATACAAGCAAGATTTATTCGTCCGAAATCTGTGTGTGTTCCTAGCACGAATACGTTTCCTTATTTCATGAGACCACTGCATCGCGAAGGATCGTAGTTCTGAATTAGGGCATGCTGTCACAATGGAATTGTGAAGCTCTGCTAACTTCTGCAATGTTCTGAAATCTTGTTAAGAACACTCAAACTCATTTGCCTTTTCTTAATCTTTTTAAGTTCAGAATAAACTGAGAATGAAACACAATCAACCCATACAACTCCACAAGACAACAATTAAGCATGCAACTCCCTGGAGACATCCAACATTCTTGGAACAAAACGTAACAAAATAGTAGCGTTGATACTGTGATGTGTATTTGCAAAAAGCAATATTATTTCCTTCATTGCAGAATAATATTCATCCTGCTCTAACCGAGAAATAATCAACTCTGTTTTGAACCCATGAAAAACATAAAAAATTAGGCTAAGAAAAATTTAAGCGCCTGCCTTGCCTGGTCTTTCATGTACCTTATACATTTGTAAAGTTTGTAAAGACCTATTAAATATACTTGCATAATTTCGTACGTTCATATTTCAGGAAACAATGAGCTAAGACTTAGCTTACATGTAAGAAGCCTAAATCTACGCCATATCCCTTACAAACCCTAACGACAATTCGCTGAAATACAATTTACCCTGATATGTCATTAAGCAAACAAACGCTGGAGTTAAAATTTGATACGCCGATTTTCGCTAATTTTAGACACATCCCAAAATATGCTCCCGATTTTGAACATTAATATCTCCGTGAATTTTTAAGTAAAATGCAACTGTAATATATCAAAATCTAAGTTAGTCCTTCCTCTATTTAATGTATATATATATATATATATATATATATATATATATATATATATATATATATATATATATATATATATATATATATATATATATATATATAAAATTATAATTTTTACAAAATTATACAGTGTTCTCCGGATTGTAATAATTTGTTTCGAGCTTTCGACTCGGTACTTCGAGCCTTCATCAGAAAGATTGATCATTTGAATTTTCGCGCTGTTGTTGACGTTGTTGAAGTCTGTGGGAACGTCTGATTGGTTGATGGATTTCAGTATGTTGGTTGCCATTAGTTACTATCGAATGCGGGTGATTATTGTTATCATGAGACGGTGTAGGGAAGGAAGTTGAGGGTGCGTTAAAGGTTAATGAAGATGAATTAGGAGATTTGTGAGAGCGTT